TTAGGTGTTTAAAACAAAAGTTTGGCATGTGCTGCCTTTCGGCATTCCGACGGCCGAAGACGGCCCAAGAGGCCGCTAGAATCGCCCCAAGATCGCCCACGAGGCTTCCAAGATGGCCCCATGACGGCCCAAGAAGACCCCAAGATGGCCCCAAGAGGGTTCCAAGAAGCTTCCAAGACGGCCAAGACTGCCTCCAAGACGGCTAGGATGGCCCCAAGATGCCTCCCAGACGGCCGGAGATGCACCCAAGACGGCCTAAGATGGCCTCAAGATGGCCCAAGACGGCCCAAGAGGCCCCTCCAAGACGGCCCAAGAGGCCTCCTAGAGGTCCTCCAGGAGAACCCGAAGATGCCAAAATCCTTGATTTGCCTTAGGTGTTTAAAGGACTTTGGCCTTTGCTGCTTTTCTGCATTCCGACGGCTCAAGACGGCCCAAGAGGACCACAAGATCGCCCACGAGGCCTCCAAGATGGCCCCTATCACGGCCCAAGAAACCCCCAAGATGGCCCCAAGAGGGCCCCAAGGGGCCTCCAAGACGGCCAAGATGGCGTCCAAAACGGCTAAGATGGCCCCTAAGATGCCTCCGAGACGGCCGAATATTCACCCAAGACGGCCTAAGATGGACCTCAACTATGGACAATGATCCATAATTATCATCCTCATGCATGCACAAGCGCGAGCCATGCTCGCGATGCCACGGCATGATCAAGCTCGATGAATTTCCGAAGCGATTAATGCTCGCGATGCCTCGTCATGAGTAAGATCTGTCAACTTCGCAATAAAAAGCAGTGAAACAAAAACAACCAAAAACACAAACCACAAACCAAACCGTATTGAAAAATGGTTATCGCATGAAATAGGGTGGAAAGCATGATCGAAAAACATGTTTTCCAATATTCGGCAGAGCATGGATATATAATAGTTTGCACCATGCTATCATGGAACAGATATGAGATAGTTTTGGAACAGCTAAGACATCTGTGGCATGAGCACTCTAAAATTATCCCGGCAAAGCAACCTAACAGCGATGTGTAGAAGCATATCTGAAAGCATTCCCCTTAAGATTCAGATGAAAATCCAGTTGTCGAATTCTGCTGTTCTCGCAGTCGTAGTCGCATTCGCGATGACAGTCGCAGCGGCAACGGCAGTCGCAGTCACAGCCTCAGCCTCAGCCTGCCTCCTCCTCCTCCTCCTCTTTCTCCTGCTCCTCCTCCTCCTCCCTCCTCCTCTCTTCCTCCTGCTCGTCCTCGTTCTCGTCCTCCTCGTCTTGCTCGTCCTCCTCCTCCTGGTGCTCTCTCCTCCTCCTCCTCCTCCTCCTCCTCCTCCTCCTCCTCCTCCTGGTGGTCCTCGTTCTCCTCCTCCTGGTGCTCTCCCCCCCCCTCCTCCCCTCCTGTCAATCCTCTTCCTCCTCCTCCTCCTCGTCCTCCTCCTCCTCTTCCTCCTACTCCTCCTCCCTCTCCTGGTAGTCCACCCCTCCCCTCCTCCTCCTCCTCCTAATCCTCCTCCTCCTCCTCCTCCTCTTCCTGGTCGTCCTCGTTCTCGTCCTCCTCGTCTTGCTCGTCCTTCTCCTCCTGGTGTTCTCTCCTCCTCCTCCTCCTCCTCCTCCTCCTCCTCCTCCTGGTGGTCCTCGTTCTCCTCCTCCTGGTACTCTCCCCCCCCCCTCCTCCTCAGCCTACTCGTCCTAGTCGTCCCATCCTCCTCCTCCTCCCCTCCTCCTCCTCATCCTCATATTCTCCTCATCCTCCTCCATCCCTTCCTCATCCTCCTCCTCCTCGGCATGGGACTCTCCCCCTCCCTTCCTCCCCCTCGTACTCCTCTCCTCCTCCTCTTCCTTGGTCGTCCGCCTCCCCCGGCGTCCTCCTCCTCCTGCTCGTACTCCTCTCTCCTGCCGCCTTCTTCTCCTGCTCCTCCTGCCTCCGCGTCCTGAACTCCTGGTAGTCATCGTTCCTCCGGTCTTGTCGTCCTCCCTCTCGCGTGCTCTGCCCCTGCTGAAAATGTGGCACAGGAAGGGGAGTTCTGGGAACTCGAAGAACACGAAGTGGCCTACAGTTGGCTCCGGGCATTCAAAATCATGCCCAGGAATGGAGTTCTGGGAACTCGAAGACCACGAAGTGGCCTACAGTTGGCTCCGGGAATTCAAAATGTGGCCCGGGAATGGAGTTCTGGGAACTCGAAGAGCACGAAGTGGCCTACAGTTGGCTCCGGGCATCCAAAATGTGGCCCGGGAATGGAGTTCTGGGAAGTCGAAGAGCACGAAGTGTGTGACTGTTGCATCCGGCCCTCCAGAATGTGGCCCGGGAATGGCGTTCTGGGAACTCGAAGAGCACGAAGTGTGTGACTGTTGCATCCGGTTATTCTAAAGGTGGCCCGGGAATGGCGGTCTGGGATCTCGAAGAGCACGAAGTGTGTGACTGTTGCATCCGGGTATTCAGAATGAGCCTGGGAATGGAGTTCTGGGAAGTCGAAGAGCACGAAGTGTGTGACTGTTGGTGAAAAACGAGCCCGGCACCTGCCGCCCGGCAACTCCCAACACCTGCCCGGACCCCCCTGTGGAGTGATCTGCTGCTCTCTTTTGATCCCACTAGAAACCTATCAGTCTTCGCTGTTAGGTAACTATTCTACAAGCCTTGCTAAAGTGTCGTGCAACTATTCGATATCTATTTGAAATCGTTTGGGGTGGGCCCTACAGTGGGTCGATCTGTTGACGGTCCCCGGGGCACGGCGAGGGCCCCCAGGCAGAAAACAGCGAGACCCTCCTCCCCGTCGTAGACCCCAAGACGCCCCCAGGAGGCTCCCAAGGGGACCCCCCCCTCCTCCACGCCCGCCTGCTCCATCCCCCTGTCCTCCTCGCATCGGGGATCTTCTGACCCGGGTCAATCCAGACCCGGGTCAGCAGGAAACCCACAACTGCAATGCAGGAAAAATTATCCCGGCAAAGCAACCTAACAGCGATGTGTAGAAGCATATCTGAAAGCATTCCCCTTAAGATTCAGATGAAAATCCAGTTGTCGAATTCTGCTGTTCTCGCAGTCGTAGTCGCATTCGCGAGGACAGTCGCAGCGGCAACGGCAGTCGCAGTCACAGCCTCAGCCTCAGCCTGCCTCCTCCTCCTCCCCTCCTCACCTCCTCTTCTCCTGCTCCTCCCCTCTACGCCTACTCTCCTCTGCTCGTCGTCGTTCTCGTCCTCCGCGTCTTGCTCGGCCTCCTCCTCCTGGTTGCCTTCATCCTCCTCCCTACTCCTCCTCCTCCTCCTCCTCCTCCTTCCTCCTCCTGGTGGTCAGCGTTATCCTCCTCCTGGTCTCTCCCCCCCCTCCTCCTCCTCGTCCTCCTCCTTCCTCATCCTCGTCATCCTCCTCTCCTTACTCTCCTCCTCCCTCCTCCTCCGGTAGTCCTCCCCCTTCCCCTCCTCCTCCTCCTCCTCCTCCTCTTCCTGGTCGTCCTCGTTCTCGTCCTCCTCGTCTTGCTCGTCCTCCTCCTCCTGGTGTTCTCTCCTCCTCCTCCTCCTCCTCCTCCTCCTCCTCCTCCTCCTCCTCCTGGTGGTCCTCGTTCTCCTCCTCCTGGTACTCTCCCCCCCCTCCTCCTCCTCCTCCTCCTCGTCCTCGTCCTCCTCCTCCTCCTCCTCCTCCTCTTCCTCCTCCTCCTCCTCCTCCTCCTCCTGGTACTCCTCCCCCTCCCCTCCTCCTCCTCCTCCTCCTCCTCTTCCTGGTCGTCCTCCTCCTCCTGGTCGTCCTCCTCCTCCTGCTCGTCCTCCTCCTCCTCCTGCTCGTCCTTCTTCTCCTGCTCCTCCTGCTCCTCGTCCTGCTCCTGCTCGTCCTCGTCCTCCTGGTCTTGCTCGTCCTCCTCCTCGTCGTGCTCTTGCCCCTGCTGAAAATGTGGCCCAGGAATGGGAGTTCTGGGAAGTCGAAGAGCACGAAGTTGCCTACAGTTGGCTACGGGCATTCAAAATGTGGCCCGGGAATGGAGTTCTGGGAACTCGAAGAGCACGAAGTGGCCTACAGTTGGCTCCGGGCATTCAAAATGTGGCCCGGGAATGGAATTCTGGGAACTCGAAGAGCACGAAGTGTGTGACTGTTGCATCCGGCCCTCCAGAATGTGGCCCGGGAATGGAGTTCTGGGAACTCGAAGAGCACGAAGTGTGTGACTGTTGCATCCGGCCCTCCAGAATGTGGCCCGGGAATGGCGTTCTGGGAACTCGAAGAGCACGAAGTGTGTGACTGTTGCATCCGGTTATTCTAAATGTGGCCCGGGAATGGCGTTCTGGGATCTCGAAGAGCACGAAGTGTGTGACTGTTGCATCCGGGTATTGAGAATGTGGCCTGGGAATGGAGTTCTGGGAAGTCGAAGAGCACGAAGTGTGTGACTGTTGGTGAAAAACGAGCCCGGCACCTGCCGCCCGGCAACTCCCAACACCTGCCCGGACCCCCCTGTGGAGTGATCTGCTGCTCTCTTTTGATCCCACTAGAAACCTATCAGTCTTCGCTGTTAGGTAAAAAGAAGAAGCTGCCACGCAGATCTTCGCAAACCAGGGTCAGCCAATATTGCGCGGCCGCCTCGCGGCCACGAGCGGCTCGCTGACCCGGGTCTCGGCCAGAGGGGTCTTCGCAGGATCCTGCAGGATCTGGTGCCCTGGCTGACCCCCGCTTGCACTGACCCCCGTCTCAAGGCTCCCGACGTCGCATACAGGGCCGGCGGCCCCGGCCGCAGGGCCTTCACCGGCAGCGAGGCACCTCCCCTCCCCGCCGCGGCCCTTTCGCGACGCGAGGGCGGTCCCGGAGAGAGAGCTTCGGGGGGGGGTCCTCGGCGCGCTCGCCATCGCCCGGACGCCCATGCCGCGTGCTTTTGTCGGCTTCGCGCGTGTGCGCGTCTGGTTCGCACAGCGATCCAGGACGCTCCTCGATGGCCCTCGCCGAGGAGACGCGGACACGTCCGAGCGAGGCCGCGCGCGGGGGCGGAGGCCGCCGCGAGGGAAGCGGGATGGGGGCAGCCGGAGGACGACGGGTCCTCGCTCGCCTGCCCCTCCGCCTCCTCCGCCAGCAGGTACCTTTTGGGGGGGACCAGCAGCAGCAGCAGGAAAACGTGCACGCGGGAAAAAGTGCACGCGGGACGAAGAGCTGCCCTTTGCCCCAAAAGCTGCTTGTCAGTCGGACCAGCGACGAGTGCGTGAAACTGTCGTGGATCTACGTCGTGACATTCTACACACACATAGACAAGGAAAACATGTCTGGGGTAAATCAATTATGCGGTCGATCTCCTGATCGAAGCCTGGGGAAGTGAGAGCCTCCATGATGGGGTCCAACGAACGATCGCGCCGCATCGCCGATGCACTGGCGATGCACTGGAGATGAACTGGTGACGTCGGCGATGCATCGACGGCGTCGGCGTAGAGAAAATCGGGCTCCACACCGAGCCGCATCGCCGATGCACCGGCGATGCGGCGGGATCCTCCAACCACATCTACTCTGACCCCATTTGGAAGGCCTACTTGGAGGAAGGGGTCGGGGCATCTGGGGCCGCGCATTGAACAACATCAGATCGCGGCAAGGCAGACCTCCTGGGAAGCTTCCCGAGCCTGGAAAGCCCCAGAAATCGCGGGGAAGTATCGATTCCGCTACTCCCCGGACCTCTCCAGGGGTGCGCTCCGCCCAGAAGCTCGAAGCGAGGCCAGCCGTGGGGACGGCACCGGGCAGCGATAGCGGTCTCCCGAGATGCGGGGAGGCGCGCTTCCCGGACCCCCGACGCCATGAAGATCTGAGAACGGCGGCTCCCAGAGGCCTCGACCAGTTCCACCAAATTCTCATGCCGAGTCCTTCTCGGACGGCCTCGCGGTCCAGCGGGGGCCCCCGGAGGCCGAGGAATACTTACGCGGCAGGCGCCTGGACACCGCCGCCGTGCCAGGCCGGGGCCATCCCGGGCCCGATCTGGCCATCGCTCGGACGTCCATTTCCTGTTTTTTTTTTTTTGTTTCGTGCGTGGTTTTTTCGCCAAATGATCAAGTATGCTTCTCGACGATCCTCGCCGAAGGAAAAATGCACACGTCCAAGCGATGCCAAGCGATAGGACGGTGTATAACACGCCCTCCTGGCCGACCGGTAGAGGGAAACAATTACTGAGCACTCCCCCTCCCCCCCAAACTCAATGTTGGCACGCGCAAAAAGGAGACTGCGGCCGACGTGCCTCCCATCAGACCCACCGCCAGCTTTGAACATTGGGGGGAGGGGGAGGCGTTGACAGATGAATGTGGCATGTGTTCGCTAATTTGTTCCGAGGCCTGACCCAGACCCCCGACGTCGCGATTTTTTCGCAGCGTCGACCCCCAAAGGTCGACGACCCCCTTTCCCAGGACCGGCTTTTCATCCTGAGTCGTTTTTGGACGGCCCCGAGGCCCGGCAAGGGCCCCCGGAATCCGAAAATGGCGAAACCCCTCCCGTCGTGACTTTCTCACAACGCGAGGGGGTATGGGGAGGCCGGGAGGCCCGGCCTCGGGCCCAGGATGGCCCTGACCTGGCACGGCGGTGGTGTACAGTATAGAGTTAGGGGTCGGGCGTGTCCCCCTACAGGGGGATTCTGGGTGAAACAAATACAAAAACAAAACAACAACAAAACAACTCTAAAAATACTCCCCAAATAACGAAAAAAACAAAAAATCGTCCCCAGACTATGTTTTTACCATTTTTGAATCTTCCTCCTGTGGAGGGACAGGCCCGACGTAAGTCCAGATGCCTTCGTCGGACGAACGACTGGAAACACCGCCCGCGGCATCTTCTCCGTGACTCCAGAAGGGGGCCGCGCGTGCCTGGCCGCCCCGGCTCCAGCGGGCCGACAAGGAGGAGGAGGAGAAGGAGGAGGAGGCAGGAACAGGAGGAGGAGGAGGAGGAGGAGAAGGCAGGAACAGGAGGAGGAGGAGGAGGAGGAGGAGGAGGAGAAGGAAGGAGGAGGAGGAGGAGCGCGAGCAGCTTGAGGCGAACTCGTCCGTCTTACCTGACAGGAGGAGGAACCACCTCCCGTCGAGATTCGTTTGATCAGGACCCGAGGAGGTCTGGGCTCGAAGCCTCGCACGGCGGCTCCCGAGCATCCTGACAGCAAGAAGAGCCGCAACCACAAGAACTCCATGGAACTCCTTCCCCCTTGCCCCCCCCCCCCCGAGCTGGTGGCTCTCCGTTCTGGGCGCTCTCTGGGGGCGCGCTTCCGGAACGGGGCTCCACCAGCTGGGGAAGGGGGAGGGAGAGCAGCCAGCCTCCTAGCTGGTGGTGGTGGCCGTTTCTCCCGGAGATCCGACGTGGCGAGAAAATTGCAACATCGCGAAAAAGGACCGCCGCGTCTAAAACAGGGCTAGGATCGGGATAAATCGCTCCAGAGCGTTCCGGAGCGCTCTCAGAGCGTTCCGGAACGCTCTGGAGCGGCCGCGGCGCCCAATACATCCTCCAAACCCGCCGATTCGCAGAGATTTCGAGTTATCCCGATCCGATTTTGTCCCGATCTTCGCGTCGTTTGAGCGTCCCTGGACCCCACAAGCGTGCGCCATCTCTCCCGCCGGGATCGACCTCTGAGAGCCCCGGGGCCCGAAACTGGCGGCATCGCCTGGCCCGACATAGCTGCGGCGCCAGGATCTCAGGGCCCGCAGAGGTCTGGACCCCTTCCCAGGGCAGCAGTGCTACAGTCATCGGCCTGACCTAAGGAACGATCAATAAGGAACGAAGCCCCTTTTTACCCCGAGGAATAACGTAGAAGGACCGATAACCAACAAATAACGCATAAGGAGCTGTACATAACGCATGCAAGCCTAAGGCACGACCGAGCCCCTTTTGAAAAGTAAGTGTTCCTTATTCAAGCCGCTCGCTGTAGTACTGGGTTGAAGGGCCGCCTGGGAATACCCTCGGGTGCTGTCAGCTTCGGTAGTGCTCATGCTCGCGTCATCCCTTGGCTTTCGAAGCCCGGATGCCTGCATCAGAAAGCACCGATCGATGCGAAACGCTGTGTGCCCTGCATCAGCGAAGCGCCAGCAAGACATTGACAAAGGCCATGCGCAAGCATCAGAGATGCGCAAGCCCGAAGGGTGCGCCACATCTGGCAGTGTACCAAGCCAGAGCAGTGCTTGAGGCGTCCTACGGCCATAGCCCTACAATTAGCGTGTATGTGATGTCGGGTCATATGAAACCGAAGCCGCTAATACTCTACGCAACGCAGGGGCGTAGGCGCCAAGTCGGGTCGGGTGGCACAGCCCGCCGAGGTACGCTTCGATCCAACTGCGCAAGATACACGCTCAGTGCGAAACACATAGCGTGTATAGGCGTGTTCGCAACCATGCGCTGAGAATTGGACCATGACAGAAAGCAAACTCAGAGAGGTAACCGTCTCTTCCTCGGAGCGGCTTTGGGGGCCTCCCCAGGGCGAGAGCACCACAGCACCGCGGCGACTCCGCCCGCGCCCGCGGCGGCCAAGAGCGCCTTCTTCCACCCCTCCATGCTGCTGCCGCGCGGCCCCCCCGGGGGGCGCGGCGGCCGAGGGCGCGGCCTGGGGGGGCGCGGCGGCCGAGCCGCGGGCTGGCTGGATCCCGCAGCGCGCGGAGGGACCCAAGAACCCCCTCCCCCTCCAGTCCCGAACAAACCACGACGGGAGGTTTGTTCCTTTTCCTCCTCCTCCTCCTCCTCCTCCTCCTCGCCCTCCTCCTGACTCCTCCCCCCCCCTCT